TAGAGGTCTTCTGAGGCTTTTGAAAATTCCTCAATTCAAATTTCATTTGAATTAAAACATGATGCTCACACGAAGGTCTAGCCTAGTGCATAACAGGACCAGGGATGTGACAGCATATGAGTTTGATAGTCTTTAAGCGGGTTCATATGGGCGGGTGCTTATATTTTGCCTAGTGTTTACAACTCTTGCTTTTGATACATTTCGTTCTTTGAGTTGTAACACTTAGACTTGATGGTCGTCTGCTACTTATTTGCGTTTCCACGTACGATGATAACTTCCGCACTTAGATCATTCTGCAGACGTCCATTTTTCATTATGCATGTCATTCTCTTAGTTATATCATTTCATGCATGATGAATTATCTTCATAAGTTGAAGAGGATCTCCAAAAGTACAACCTGCCATGTGCATTTGCATTCCAAAAGCAAATTACTTATATGCACATCTTCAGGGGGAGCCCTTACCACTTATGAAGACAATACGCTATCCTTTATAATTTTACATACTTCATTCCCGTTGAAAACTTCAACCAGTTTGTCATCAATCACCAAAAAGGGGGAGATTGTAAGTGCATCTAGTGCCACCCCTAGTTGGTTTTGAATTATTGACGACAAAGTTGGTTGAGGGACTAATGCGTTTGTGAGAATTGTAGGATAACGCTGGTAGTGTCCCTCATTGATTCGGTTTACCTACCGGAGATGACCCCTAAAAATGTATGAAGACATTGAAGATAATGGTGGTATGTGAAGATATTCACATTGAAGACTATGACATGAGAAGACATTGAGCGAAGACTATGGAGCGCGAAGACTGTGTTGTTTTGTTGTTTCCTTTTCTTCTGTGTTGAGTCATAGGAACTACCGTACTGTTAAGTGGGGTCCAAGTGAACAAAGTCAGAGTGACTGAAGTGATGCTCAACCCAAATCCTATATCTTCGAGCGAAGACAATGAGAGCAAATCTTATCCAGAGCTGGATGAGTCAGCTTTGCTTGTAGCCCAAGTAAAGTTGCCGTGTGTGTTTGAAATCTGACCCTTGGAACACGTGTCAGTTCCTTAGTGATCCAGGGTCATTTCAGACATATCAGGTCGGGTTGCCTTGTGTCTATAAATAGCCCACCCCCTACACCATAAATTGATGGCTGCTCAGAGTTAGTTTACGACTTTTGTCGTTTTGAGAGCAACCCACCTCGAAGCCTTTGAGAGAGAAATCCTTGCGAGGACAAAGCCCAAACACCCTGAGCCAAAGAGTGTTAGGCATCACTGAAGTCTTTCTGTCTGTGTGACCTGAAGACTTATTACACTTGAGGACTGTGTATCCTCCAGCCGGTTAGGCGTCGCGTTCTGAGCATCCAAGAGTCATTGTGGATTGCCGGTGAACGAAGTCTGTGAAGGTTTGGAAGTCTACCTGGAAGACTTACCAGAGTGATTGGCGCGAGGACTGTGTGTCCTTAGCTCAAGGGGAATAAGGTGAAGACGCGGTCTTCTGAGTTGAATCTCAGCCTCCCTAACCAGACGTACAGTTGTTACAGCAGCTGGAACTGGTCCAACAAATCATGTGTCTTCAACAAGTGACTGGTTCTATCCCTTCCCTCCTTTACTTTGAGTTTGTCTTCGTGAAGTCATTGCTTATTTGTCTTATCTGTTTGACTTCATTGCTTGACTACTATCGTTGATTGGCTTCATACTATCTTCCATTCTGATCCTTACTACCTAGCTGCTATTAGTCCTTGTACGTTCACAATATTGCATACGTGACTATGGCTTGCTTGTTGTAGTTTATCTTCCGCTGCATATCAATTAGGTCATTTCTATTGTCTGTCTTCGAAACTTCCACGTTTTGAAGACTTTGAGAAAAATCGCCTATTCATCCCCCTCTAGTCGATAACTAGCACTTTCATCTACTAATATAAATTGAACACATATTGTTGCCGCTAAATGAACACTTCACATAGTAAATTACATCCAAATACATATTACCTGTACATACTTCATTTCTCAAACAACTTCAAGGATATTTTGTCCAACTTAACTGAAGTGACATTACTCATCTTGAATAATACGAAGTAAATAAAATATATAGAAAGGAGGATCAAAATACATATCAAACAAAACATAACAACATCCAAATTTAGAAATAGCAAACATGCAAATATTGTATTAAGGAATTGCAAGGATACATGAAACCGATTACCGATAATCCATAGTTATTCAATCTATCCAAACTATTAGCCACTTTGCAATCCAATGCTTATGCCTTGCGAACCAATTTAACAACCATTTTCTTGTTTTGATGTCACTAATGAAATGGTTATGGCTTGAGCATTCATTAGTTTGGCAAAACTTTGCTAGGTTTAATCATATTGCTATACTGTTTTCGTAAGATATGAAAATGCCCAAAGAAAGGATCGAACAAGCTTTCTTAAAGAGCAAAAGAAATCTACCAACAATCATCTAGCTACTGAAATTGCCAATCTTAGATCTAGTCTAGAGCATGTCTGATTGTCTGGATGCATCATGAAGTAAAAAACTACTTTGAGCACCCACCTGATCATGCCAAAGCGAACGAACGACGGCTTAATCTTTACAGAACTATAATATGCATACATATCACAAGCTCATACCTTTCAAGTCTGAGAACATAGTGCAAGAAATATATGATGTGCATTTTATTTCTTAAGAGCAGTTTAATTCCATATCAGCTTTAATTCTTGTACTTCATCTCATTAGAAAAAAATATAGCTATTAGCATAATGAGTGAAGTCTGTCGCGCTGGTGTTCAAGAGGATCATGGAAGAGGCAGATTAGTGGACCACTATATAATTTTGAGATTAAGTTTTTGTACATCTGATCCTACTTTGTTTCGGCACTAATATCTGATTGAAAGTGTCATATACACTGAGAAAATGTGTTCCATTTCATTCTCGTGTGGGAGTGCTCAACTCTCTTCCGGAAGTGTTGCATGCTCCAGAATATGTGGTGCCATTATTACAGGAAGCAGATACAATGAACGACGTTGCTCAGTTAGTTTCTGTAATCTGTATAAAAAACCCAGAAAAAGCCATGTGAACATGAGTGCCTTTGCTTATATGGGGGCATATAGACAATAAAATCATGCTCTTCAGAAGTTAGGAGAGGCACATGATTACTGAATTATCATTTCCTGCATCCGCCCGCTGATGGAAGACCCCCGGATGTTACAAGGCAGCAACCTGGCCCACTGTATAACACCGTCTCGTCTTAAGCGACTCTGCAGATCCCCAAGCCGTGCCTTCTCTACAGATAACACCTCATTGAATTCCTACAATTAAGAAATCATAGTGTCAGACGAAACACAACCGCATTCTACAAAGCAGTAGCACCAGCTCCATCTGTGCCCGTAGCTGCTGCTTTCGCTGCTAGACGCACTCCTTGGCTCACCTCCTCCCGACGACGAGCTCGTAGGCACACACCCTCCACAACCCGATTGGCCTCCTCATCTCCACGCATGTATGGTGGCGGACGCCACCAGCGCAGCCATGGTGTAACCGTCACATGCTCATCCTCGGTGGGGCTGAATGAGCAGCGGCCGCGGCCCCTGTCGCTGGGCAATGTTCCCCTGAACATCCGTAGTAGCCACCTCGCCATCTGATATAGGTACACCGAGCGCATCGGGCTGTTGTCGATCCGCTGCGAGAGTACCCCGGATGGCGAGCTCCTAGCCAAGCCACCCGCTGTGCGTTGGTCACTTGTGGCATGAAGCGGCAGTCGGACTTGATCCCATTGCGTGGACCAGCGGTCCTGGTCCTCAGCACATTGTCGCTCGCTCACGAGACCTCGGGGTAGACGGAAGCAGGGAGGATGGAAGCAGGGAGGAGGGATTAGGGGAAGGAGAGCCAGTGATTTCCGTGGCAATTAAGGAGATAGACGAGAGGGCTACGGGAAGGATTGATTGCCGGGGAAACAAATTGATATGGGAGCAAACATGCCTAAATTGATGAGATGGGGGCGTGGGCCACGTTGGAAGGGGAGGCGGACGAAGGAGGTTAGACGCAAGAGGGAAACGGAACCTTACGGTTTTTTAGGTAGTAGAGATAGCACTTTGTCTGTGCATCGGGTTCGGTTCTTGCACCAAAAAAGCTCTCAGATCGAGGCCGTCCATGACATCCAACTCCGAGCCTACAAGCCTACAATGGCGAATCTGAGCATAACTCAAATGGTTCTTGAGGTGAAACCAGCTCATCAAAGTTTAAGTTCTAGACTTGGCATTAGTTGTCGTATTTTTCTGAATTTATTTTAGTTTTTCTAGCGATATTCGTTGAGTGGGGAGAGACGTTCCCATCGACTACGAGGTGTGTAGAGTGACTTTGTCAATCTCAAAATGTAATGCCAGCTTAGTACGTCGAATGAGCTCATAGAGATAAGGTTTGCGTGCATGCGTCCATATGAATGAGGGCAGTGTATATGGCCTTGTGCCGTGTTAAAAGAAAAACTCCAAGCCTACAATGTACTGTACATGCATGGACCCATTGTTCCCTTTCGTATCAGTTACAGTTTAAGACCAGTGTAATTCATTGATAGTACAGAGTATTTCGGTTCCTTTGAGCTTCGAATGGGCTAAGTTAACAATTATTGGGGTCGGTCGATCGACGTGCTGGCAGAGACTATCTGTCTCACGGCGGCTGTACACACTGCAATCGCCATTCGCCGGTGGCCACTAGCGCTCTGCGATCGATCTCCGCATCTTCTCCCCCGCCCCGACGACTCGCCTCGTCGTCGGGTGCATGCGTGGACCAAGTGTCGGTAAGCGACGACCGCGCCTGATACGATCAACGATTCGGTGGCAATTAAGTACGGAAGTATGCACCCACCACCTGCCTGCTCGTCGGGCTTCGGTTCCTGGACGAAAAACGAGCCCATGCATGCACATGCAGTTCAACGACGGTCCAAAGCCGAGGTCTTCCGTCCGACTACTAATTCGACCCATATACCCACTGACTAGTAGTGACGAGTCTGCTACTCGATATGTATACCTGTCCAGCTTCATCCCTTCCAGTCCGACAAGTCATCTTCCCTCTCGGCTCTCGCACCGTTGCCATGGCAGCGTCCAAGCTTACCCCCACCTTGCCTGTCTCTTCCCTCGCCCTCGCTACCTCTCGCTCGCCGGGCCAGCTGCGCTCCCCAACCCTTCACCCGGCGGCGGCGGCGGCTGGAGTTGTTACAGGCTTGAGCTGGACTTTGAAGGGCGCTGGCAATGGCACGACCGTGGTGTGTGCCACTGCCGTCCACGGCCAGGACGCTACCATCCAAGTCCAAGGTATATGCATGGACCCATTTGTTTCCTTTGGGTGTGTAAAAAGTGTACCGTGTGCGTAGCAGCTACAGCTTAAAAGTTGTTATTCTATCAACTTCTAAAGTACTAGGCATACTTCGTTTGGTGCAAAGTCTATGTTGTTTTGCTTGAAAGCAGCTGGATTTCAGCCCTTGAGAAGTTAGTCCTAACGAACTCACATTTCGGAATCTCATCCATTCTCTGAAGCTCAGCTTGATCACCTAAGTAAAGTGGGAAAGTACATTGCAATTTCCGTAACTTCAACTAAATATACAGTGGAAAGTTGAGTGCTCTTTTGTGCGCATATTTGTGAAAATCTATGGCCAATTACCTTAATGTTTATGTCAATGGAAAAAAATGATACTTAGGTTGCACGTATACCCTATGTAATTGGCCATAGATTTTCACCCGGCGCGTCCTTCATGGGATACGTAATCTTATCCGTGTTCGTGCTTCACAACTTACTACGAGTATTTATGTAGTAGGTGCAAGGTTCTGGCATGAATTTAGAGATTAACAAGGTTCTACTTTTTAATACTGTGATTGAAATTGCCGCACAGGAAGCAAGTGGAAACCAACTGTTTGTGTGGTCCTTGTGGAGCTCTTCAACACAGGAACTATACTGCTAGGCAAGGTAGCAGTTGATAGCGGCATGTTTGTATTCTCATTGCTTTGTTATAGAAGCATTCTGGGTGCCATTTTTATCTTGCCATTTGCCCTGCTCCTCGAAAGGTGAGGGGTTTTGTTTATCTTTATTATTCCTATTTTTTAATAAAACCTACTATTTTCATGGAAAATAATAATATAACTTTTAAACATTGCCTCAATAATATGTTTGACAAATCTGCAGTGGGAAGTGGAAAGAATTGGATAAGAAGGCTCTTGGTTGGCTCTTCATCAATGCTTTTGTCGGGTATGTACACTCGATGAACTATCTTATATACCTTTGCACTAACATAATATAACTAGTTCGGTAGTTTGTTTGTTTTTTATCCTCTAAACTCTATATTTTGTTCAATGTTTATATATGTGCGTCTTGTCATATGTTCCCGTCAAAATCAATTAACCGAATTGGGGAAGTGGTTTTATGTTGGTCTGAAGATGACCAAGCATTCATTAGCCAACTAATTCACTCAACACAAGTACAAAGCTTAAACTGAACCTGAATGATTCTCTAACCCCCATATGCTAACACTTTTTTTAAATCCTCCTCGGACATATGGAGAACTTGTGTACCAGATTCTTCATCGAATGTTTTATGCCTTTTTATTCATTTGTAATTGCAAAATAAATTAACAGGTTGAGATGCACAACTTCTGTTTAATCAATTTCATAGTTTATTATATAGACCAAATGTCAAGTATGATACAATTTCTTTTTCTTTGAGTATATGATTAAGGAATAATTTTTACTGATATTGACAGTGATATTTTGACATTGTATAGGTACTCGTTGCCTATGGCCATGTATTACTACGGGCTACATGACACAACTGCTTCCTATGGTGTGATCTTCTCCAGTTTGACTCCGCTCTTCACTTTTGTCTTGTCAATATTGCTTGGGTAAAAAATCCTTTCCTCCACCGTACAACACCGTAACT